CGCTTTAAAAATATCGGGTACCCATTAATATCGGAATAAAAAGACTCGATATTCAAGATATCGATACCAAAAACCAAAAAAATTTTGTCTGAATATAGGTCTTGCATATACGCCGTTGTGGTGCAGTGGTTAAAAGTGCGCAAGCCTTGAAAAGGAAAAACAGCTTGCCATAAACTACAATCGCGGTTCAGAGTCGACATAAAACTGAAGGAACCTCCTTTGTGCCACAACATTAAGGCGCACGCGACAAATCGGAGGAGAAGTTATTTTAAAACGTAGAAATTGAGGTGTTGACTTATAACACCAAGGCCGCGGGTTCAAATCCCACCGCATGCAATCCTAACTATNTATGATTCAATAATTAAAGGTTCGATAAACTGACAGTTGTCTCTCTCGCACCGCTCGCTTAGCTCAGATATTATTGTTTCTGTTAAAAAGATATTTAGTCAACGAGTTAATTCTGAATATTTTTTCACCTCAAATATTGTATACAAAGATATATTGCAAGTAACACCATGTTTCTCTCAACTCATTACACTCCGCGAACTATCAGAACAATCTGCTTTTATCTGTGGCTACAAGAGGGATGAGTTTACTGTGTATTTCTGTCTGCGCAGTCTGCGCATGGGCCCGCTTGTTTATATTTAATTGAAATCAGAAAATGTCTTAAAAGATTAAAATTTGTATAAATCAGTTTTTATACATGCATATATATGTATTTAGGTATTTAGATTTTACTTAAAAATCGGAATGTACATACATGCATATTTAATTAGGCTTAAAATTGTACTCCCCATTTTTGTACTTCACTTCATTNTAAAACGTAGAAATTGAGGTGTTGACTTATAACACCAAGGCCGCGGGTTCAAATCCCACCGCATGCAATCCTAACTATAGCTCAGATTTCTGCTCTTTAAAGCCCAATTTATATCGGCAAGAATTGTTACAGGCAAACCTAATATGCGTGCGTAAAAAGCTAACTCAAATTCCAAGATTTGTCTTGCGTGACATTTCGATTTTAGGTTTATGCNGGCTTAAAATTGTACTCCCCATTTTTGTACTTCACTTCATTGACTGACTTCTGGTCTGATTATGCATACTTCGCATAACTTCGCATAACTTCGCACAACTTCGTATAAACTTCAAACTGTAATTTCGTATGTACTTTGTATGTATTCCATCACCCAGAAATTAGCAGAACTTTTAAGAACTTAGCGATCTGTTGAGTTTAGATTTTGCTTCACATTTTCTTAAGTTACATTTTTAGTGCACTGGTACAAATGGTTGCGCGAAGTTATGCGAAGTATGCATAATCAGACCCTACAACTTCGCAAAACATGATTTTTGTGCGAGACAAATTTCCACAGAAAGTAACGGTAGAAAAAGAATTTTTGGATACTCATTCTTAGGGACACGATATCGAACCGAAAGTATCGATTTAAATGAGTAAAGCATCGCTTTAAAAATATCGGGTACCCATTAATATCGGAATAAAAAGACTCGATATTCAAGATATCGATACCAAAAACCAAAAAAATTTTGTCTGAATATAGGTCTTGCATATACGCCGTTGTGGTGCAGTGGTTAAAAGTGCGCAAGCCTTGAAAAGGAAAAACAGCTTGCCATAAACTACAATCGCGGTTCAGAGTCGACATAAAACTGAAGGAACCTCCTTTGTGCCACAACATTAAGGCGCACGCGACAAATCGGAGGAGAAGTTATTTTAAAACGTAGAAATTGAGGTGTTGACTTATAACACCAAGGCCGCGGGTTCAAATCCCACCGCATGCAATCCTAACTATAGCTCAGATTTCTGCTCTTTAAAGCCCAATTTATATCGGCAAGAATTGTTACAGGCAAACCTAATATGCGTGCGTAAAAAGCTAACTCAAATTCCAAGATTTGTCTTGCGTGACATTTCGATTTGAGGTTTATGCTCAATTGGCATTTTGGCGCCAATTTTGGATTCAAATTTTTCTCAGCAAACTTTTTTTAAATTTGACAGAAATGCAACTCTGAGCAATCACGCACGCAAATTGATTTCGGTTTATCAAATGAGAAAAACTTGCGTGCGTGCGTAGAAAAACTCTCGCCGGTAATATTAGGTTGAGTTGTTAATAACATTATTCTTGTAATGTGAGTTTATGACATTCGATGCGATACTAGGGTTCTGGTACTCGATTCCAAAAAATATCGTTTTAAAACTATCGAGTAGAAAATATCGGTATCGAATGCCAAAAGTATCGATATGGTATCGTATCGTATCGAAATTCGTGTCCCTAATCATTCTATTTTTCAGCTGACTACGATGCAGTGTTCTACTTTGCAGTCCGCGAAATGAAGCAAAAAAGCGAATTAAAAAAATATTATAGGACGTTCTACTTTGTATTCCCCGAAAATAAACGAAGAAGCGAAATAAATAAAATGTTGTAGGACATTCTACTTTGCATTTCCGGCAATGCCTAAAAGAAGCGAAAAAATTCGAAGGCATTATAACGCTATGCCTTCTAGAACACGTTACCACTAAAAGCGATTACCGATTTTTTGCTGGGTTCGTTTTTAAAAAAGCTTGTCTTCGAATTCAGCGTACATGCACGATTGGTAAGGTATACATATGTATGTATGCAGGTATGTAAATGCGGGTTCGCTTTTCGCGCGACAAACTCTTTTAAAAACGGTGTAAATCAGTAAAAATTGTTATGTAGTAATTTTCATTCGAGTTTGGGTAACTCCTTTTACTAATTGGCTTTTAGTAACTTTAACGCAAGCCTAACTTATTTTATTAACCGACTTCCAAAAACGGAGGAGGTTATCAGTTCGTCGGATTTTTTTTATGTATGTTACCGCATAACTTTGGACCATGTCAACCGATTTCGATAATTTTTGCATCGGAAAACTAGTGTCTCAGAGGTGGTCCCATACTAATCTGGTTTAGATCCGATCATTGGATCATGAAATATATATAAATATATTTTTTATATGAGAATTGAAGTCGTTTTTTATTGCTAAAAATTACTTGTTGTGTTAATTTAAGTGCAGTTTTTACAAAATTTTCTTGCTAAGAAATCTTTTGTTACACTACTTTATTTTGTTCTATTGATTGTACATGATAAATAATAAATTTGTATTAAAAAAAAATTTTGCCCCATAATTTTATTTTTAATTTTAGTTCAGTTTTTGCAAAATTTTCTTGCTGAAAATCTTTTGTAATTGACACAGTTATGAAATTTTTACACAACCTAGAAGAAAATGTAGCGGTCATTTCAACATTGGCTTCGGGTAAAAATGTTTAAATAATTGAAAAACGAATATCTTGCCTCCCCATTCATAATGAATGGTGGAAGAGGATGGTCTTCTGACTCGACAACTTGGCCACTCTTCAGCATACGGCAGCCGTCGTTAACCCGTGTATTCTACCTTCGTTGTGAATTCGAAATCCAGCCCATTCTTGATGCAAATTTTTATGAAAAAGATCTTATCTTTCCAATAGAGAATGGGCTTCACCACAAAGTAAAGCTATTTAAAAAAAACACATACGCGTCAGACAATTATAAAATAATTGCTTTTAAAAACTTGAAATAAGCTTTTTGCTAACTAACTAAAACTAATCTTATTGAAAGTTTATTCCAAAAACTCCTTTAGATCAGATTACAGCTATGTATGTATTAAGAGCAACGACTATTCAATTTACAAATAGGAAGAGGTCAAAAAAGCAAAGGAATCTGATTTTTGTTTCCTTTTTGCGTCTGCTTTGAGAATACATACTTGGAAGTACGAGTATTATCGATACTTTTTTGAAAATATGAGAACTGGCATCGATACTTTTTTAGAGTATTCTAATATGAGTACTAGTATCGATACTTTTCTAAAAAGTTCTATCACTAAGCATCAAATATGTGTAACTTGACACCGGATTGTTTGGAAGCTATATTTGCTAAAGCACATACACTGTGCCGCTGTGGTGTAGTGGTAAGTAGTGCGCGCTTCCACTCCACAATGCCTGGGTTCAAACCCTGGTCAAAGCAACATCGCAAAAATATAGAAAAAAGTTTTTTACTTAACAGCGGTCGTCCCTCGGCAGGCAATGGCAAACCTCCGAGTGTATTTCTGCCATGAAAAACAGCTTCTCATAAAAATACAATCGCCGTTCGGAGTCGGCGTAAAACTGTAGGTCCCTCCGCTTTGTGTGACAACATCAAGGCGCACGCCACAAATCGGAGGAGAAGCTCGGCCAAACACTAACATATGTGTAGGCGCCAATCTATTATTATTACATACACTTTGAGCCCACAAACCGGCTGTCGAGTAGCGGAAAACTTATCACTAAAAGCGAAATTATATTAAACATAATAACAAAAACCAGTTCACTTAAAATCAAATAATATTAACAATTTATATAATAGTCTTCATAGAACACAAAACTTAAACGTACTTGCCTTTAATGAAATTCAATTTCATTATTTATCGGAAATTGATTTGCTATTTAAAAAAAACTGACTCGAAACCTGAAATAAACTACTTTTGTGAAGCATTATGTAAGATACCTCCTTTTAAAAAACCACAGAGTGCAGGAATTCGTAACATATTTCATATTGTGACTTATTTAAATTGATTTTGGAAAATATTTCGTGTGGCTACTGCAATTCATTAAGCAGTAGAAGAAATTTTTCTCAAAGCGGAAGCGCTGCACCACTAACGCTCCTTTATATCTAAAAAATTTACTTCCAAAAAACCGAAAGAGATATTTTAACTTACAGATCAAAAATCTAAAAGGTTAAAGTAAGCACAATACCACATCACTTCACACTTGATTTTGATTTGGTTTGAAACAAATACGATATTGTGTTTTTTTCTTAGTGTAGGATTATGTACAACCAAGATCAATCACCTGCTGTAAAAATCCATTGAATTAATTCCATTGAAATGTTTTATAAAACGTTTGGTCATTAATTCGTTATTCTAATAAAGTCCCTTATGGCTTTCTGATCTTTTTCAGGTGGAACTTTGTCAAGAAGAATAAGCTCTATCAGTTGCCATCAAACATAAAAAAAGCTCTAGCTCAGTTGATTGATGCATATGGGGAAACATACATATGTATGAATACATATAAAAATATAATACGTTATATAGTATATAGCGAATTAAAAATATTTGTAAAAACCACCAAAGTTGAAACTAATTGTCCAAGAATACTGATACCAAAAACATTAAGAAAATATGATGGGGCCATGAGCCCATCATTATTTGAATTAAATTGGAGTCGCAAGCGCGTCTCAAGCGGGCCTGCACCATGCTAGCACCGCCGAACCCGAGGTCAATATGCGGCCAGGACCCGGGCTGGTCGTGATGGCGCTTGCGTTTATTTCGGGGGCTCGGCGTGGCAGCACCAGCACCAGTTCAAAATCATCTTCATCAACTACATCGACATCGTCGACTTTTTTCACCTCTACTCCATTAGACAACAGCCCTGAACCAACGACACCTTCATTACTGTTTCCGGCATATCTGGGTGGAGGGGGCGTGCCTACGGTAGAAAGTAAAGCCTCTCCAAACCATCCTCAACAAGAAGCTGAAGGGAAAAAATATCACATAGAGAATTACAACTATTTATATAAAAGCTTTCTTTATTTGCCCCCATTCGCACCGCCGATAGAGGGAACAACCCACGACGTCCAACATCTACGGTTAGAAACACTTTCCGGCTTAAAGTCGTCTTCACGGGCTACCAGGCAAACGAGAATAATACGTGACCTAACCGAAGACGAAAGTAACCAGAAGAAAGAAATAGACGGTGGAGGTGGTAACGCTGATACCAGTGCTGGCAGCAACGTGAGTAAACGAGGAAGCGGTGTTGGATCCGAAAGCGGCAGCGGGTATGATATCGAGGACGGCCCAACTAGTACGGAAGACAAGACTAATGAATTCAATGAGGCTGCTAGTACCAGCGCCAGTAGAGATTCTCAAGGGCTTCCCGTAAAGTTTGCTTCCAATCCATCGGACGCATCACAGTCCTTCGACGAGGACGATATATTAGCTCTGGTTGCCGAGGACGATCTTTTGTCGGAAGAATCGTTCGATCGGCTGACTAAATTTACTAATGATAAACTTGGTTACGTCATTGTGGACGATTATGATGCCTCAAACAAGGACTCAATTAGTGGTGTGAGTGAGAGCTCATTAACTAGTGCTGTTGAAGACGATGAACAACACCCGCAGGACCATAATTATACAGCCAACGAAAGAAATACTGGCATTGAGATTGGTATCGTAGAAAACGATGATTTTCAACACGAGGAAGAACATGCAAATGAGAAAAATGAAGTCAAGATTAATGTAAAGACAAACATCAACCAGTACGCTAAAGAGAACGTTTATTCGGGGCAGAAGGAAAACAATTATAAACTAGCAATTGGCGACATTTCATATGTGGCAGCGATAAGTGACAATGGTTTGAGTCACACTATTGCGGCGGACAGTGACATCAGTGTTCCAAATACCAAATGGTCGATATTCGAAAGCGAGTCGCCACTGACTCGACTTAATCCTTGGATATCAGCCTGTGATCTAGCACAACCTGGTACAGCACCAGATTTACAGGTAATTTCTATTCATAAATACGTAAATACATATAAAAGTATCCATTTCTATACATTATAGTGCACGAAAATGTCGGCGTTTTTTTATATGCATATCTTTTCCTTTCAGCCTAAATAACTCGTGTACATACAAATGCGTGTATAAAGTGTGCTCGAGAAGCAATTTCCCACAAGGACCGCTTTCTCGCGATATTCCCTAATATCGTAAAGCTCGTTATTCAGGGTGTTAGAACCATTAAATGTACTCGTCTCCATTCAGAAAATAAACCATGCATTTTTTCTGTTCCATTGAGGTCTACATTGTCTACCGTTCTAATGATGATGATTTGCAAATACCATATTCTACTGTTCACCAATCGACCGTGAAAGATAGTGGAAATAAAGTCATCAAAGTTTATTTACTACTTGCTGTATTTTCATAGAAATTATTAACTAAATGCTTTTTTCACAATAGAATGTTAAATGCATAAATTGCAAGTTTTTATTTTTTTATTTTTTAACACACCCGGTATGCTCGCATGTCTAGTTATTATTATTATTATATATATGAAAATCCACTGCTTTACATTCAGATGGAGCACTAGTGTTACCACCTTCGGCTCCATGTCTAGTTAAATACCTCAAATTTCTCGGGAGAATGACGGTACCCGAGATCGTATCGATAATTCGATTGAACATTTGCTAAAGAACTTCAACTAAGACCACCTTTCCGTTAGGCAATCATTATATAACTGCTCAGTCAAACGAGTTAGTTAGGGCAATTTAAAGCAGCTATAGAATTAATTTTCCAAAAATTTATGAAAAACCAATTTTTGCTAAGTCGCCTTTGTATCAATTTTGAGTAAAAATTTATGACTTCCTTAGGCGCACTGCTCATAATATCTGAAAATCTATACATGTAAATTCAATTCGTATTTCTACTTAAATTCCTTAACTTCGACGCTTTTTATCCGATTTCATTGAGTAAGGTATCAGTTTGTCTAAAAATAAATTTCGTTTAAGACAAATACTGAATATTTGGCAACTTTCATACAAATTTTTTAATTTAGCGATGGTAAAATTCGAAAAATTAAGAAATAAAGCGGTGTTTTAAGTCCTGCTCTGTATAAAAATGTTTACAAAATGTATAAGAAAAATTAATATAACGAGATTTTTGGAGGTATTTGCATTTTTTTTTCCATCTATTTTTACGGAAGTCTTAATACATATGGCTCATTTCACGGTAATCGATACCGAACAAAATGAAAATAAACTGAAGATTTTGAGTGTATTATTTAGGGATGTTAGTGGAAAAAATTCATCTATGTTTTTCTTTGATTCGATGCATCGAAATGTACATCGATATTTTTCGATGCATCCAAAGGCATACATCGATGCATCGATTTGCATAGGATTTTTCAGATGATGTTTCTCAACAAAATATGTTATTAGCGAAATTGTACAAAGTTAGAAATAAATTACTGCGACTGAGCTAATTATTACCTTGTTTATACCGACACATAAAGCGCCTGGACCCAGTTCGCTGTGATTCAAAACGGAAGCATAAACCAAATTTCAATACGCTCAGAAATTCAAAAGTGTATTGACTCGATTTTGTTTTCAAATCGGTGTTTTATTTCTCACATCGGTTAGAAAATAGGTATAAACACATCACTCATTTGACGCGAAGTGAAAAAAGGCTGGTTTTCTTCATACAGCCCGTTTTAAATTTTTTATTATTATTATATAAATATGAATTATAGTTCGCTTCCATTTCGGTCAAGCGCGTAAATTAATTATTAAAGAAATATGGAAAGAAAACAACAAATTTTGTTTACTTTTGAATACGGTTTCAGCGAGGGCGCTAAAAAGACACAGGTATAAACTTTTGAAAGAAATATGTGTTGAGTCAAATCGTTTTATTGTAAATGCGGTTCTTACATTGGTATAAACAAGGTATATGTTTCTAACGGAACATTTTGAAGCCATTTAAATTTTTTGTTCAAAGTCACTTCTTTTTTTGTACAATTAAAAAAATGTACAACAGACGTCAGAAGCAAAACATATCGATATTTACGATGCATCGATGTTTTTTCAGACATCCCTAGTATTATTTCCAGTAAGTAAGAGTAATTTTCAAGGTTTTCGGGCAAGTACTGAATATTTTATTAATTATTGAAGCAAAGTGTAAAAAAGCTGACGAAAGTAACGCTATGAAACAGGCGAATATGTGCGAATTGCTTTTGAGTATTTGTATACTGTTCTTTTCGAGAAAAAGAAACGATCACGCCCGTCACATGTCACACCCGTCACAATTAAATTAAAATTTGTAACTGAGTCAGAATTTCTGAAACGGGCCACTTGAATTATGTGATATTTTATTTCCCATCAGTTGTGGTATTTTTTGANATGAATTATAGTTCGCTTCCATTTCGGTCAAGCGCGTAAATTAATTATTAAAGAAATATGGAAAGAAAACAACAAATTTTGTTTACTTTTGAATACGGTTTCAGCGAGGGCGCTAAAAAGACACAGGTATAAACTTTTGAAAGAAATATGTGTTGAGTCAAATCGTTTTATTGTAAATGCGGTTCTTACATTGGTATAAACAAGGTATATGTTTCTAACGGAACATTTTGAAGCCATTTAAATTTTTTGTTCAAAGTCACTTCTTTTTTTGTACAATTAAAAAAATGTACAACAGACGTCAGAAGCAAAACATATCGATATTTACGATGCATCGATGTTTTTTCAGACATCCCTAGTATTATTTCCAGTAAGTAAGAGTAATTTTCAAGGTTTTCGGGCAAGTACTGAATATTTTATTAATTATTGAAGCAAAGTGTAAAAAAGCTGACGAAAGTAACGCTATGAAACAGGCGAATATGTGCGAATTGCTTTTGAGTATTTGTATACTGTTCTTTTCGAGAAAAAGAAACGATCACGCCCGTCACATGTCACACCCGTCACAATTAAATTAAAATTTGTAACTGAGTCAGAATTTCTGAAACGGGCCACTTGAATTATGTGATATTTTATTTCCCATCAGTTGTGGTATTTTTTGATAGCCATTGGCAATACAAACAAATGTGTAACTTTGCTTTTACAAAAAAAAAAAATTTCTTATATATCGACAAGTGTTTTTTTTACCACTTTTAAATACCACTTCTGATTGGAAATAAAATATCACATAATTCAAGCCTTACGGCGTCTACAAGCAGAGCTGTGTAATGATTGAATTAATCGCGTGTGCATTCTCATTTTATTCGTTTAAAAAATGTGATTGTTTGATTTTAAAAATTTAACAACCACTCTTGAGGTTACAAATTGTAAACACAAAATATGTAGTGTGTTATGGAATGGTCGAGATCCATTCACATAGAGAAGGTGAATGCAAATAAATAAAATTATAGTTTAAAAAACTAAAACCTCCTATTATAATTGCCATTCGTACTGTCATCAGGTATGTAACTTGAGAATAGAAATCGCTGCATCTTTTAGGCGCATCAATATTACATAGTTACATCCCGAGCTAATAAAAGGAAGGTAAGAAACCCAATCATGTATGATTGTACGTTTATGTGATTGCAATCTCTCATTATCATTCAGTACTAATACTATTTGTTGTATCAGGGTTGAGTTTTTTGAACTCATAATGTGAAGATTGCCATCTACCTTAAAATAAGTAAACAAATAAATATTTGCTGCTAAAATATTTTTCTAAGTGTTTAGCCGAGCTTCTCCTCAAACTTGGGGCATGAGTTCTGTTGTTCTGACACAAATGGAGACACCTACATTTTTAAGGCTAAAAGCTCAAACAGTCAACGACGTAACGTAGACGTAGGTTGACGCAGACACGATCTACCTTATGGGATTCGCGTGTTAACCAAAACTCACCACCGCATGGCGGTGACGTTGCCGTTGCTGCTGTCTCTCTCTATCAACAGTAAATTTGATATGCTGCTACGTACGTCAACCTAAGTTTACGCTACGTCGTTGACTAACTGAGCTTTAACTCCGAACGCCAAATGATTTTATAAGAAGAGTTTTCAAGGCAGAAGTATACTCGAGGGTTTGCCACTGCGTGCCGAAGGACGACAGGTTTACAAATATATTAGCACTTAAAATTTGTGTTTTAATAAAGTATTAATTAAATAAATTATTATCGAAAATTATTATTTTAATAAATAGATGTAAAAATTTTTATATATGGTAACTCTTAGACTTTTCTTTATTTGTAGCAAATGACAGATGTAAACAAAATAAAAATAATAATTGTAATTTTACAAATATAAAGCAAACGGGCGTTCTTTACAAAAAAATATAGTTAGGGATCGAATTGCGCATATTTTTTTACAATACCAAGCGCCTCCAAGAAGTATTAAACCACTAAATAGCTTAAAAAACGTTTTCAGAAATTCGAAACAAGGGTGAAGTGTAGTGTTCAATTGTGTGCGAAACCGCAGGCAAAAATTGTGCGTGTGTAATTAATGTTTTATATGAAGAAATGTTGCCCCTTATCATCAGAAATAAGCAAACCAAAGACCCCCGCTTCCCACTGGTTGTTACATAATAACTGAATAGCCGCTTAATGACCTTTTGCTTGTTTTGTGCACGCATGGCCAGTTAAGCTACGGTGACCATATTAACCAATGTAAAATAAAGGCATTATTTTTTAAAATGAGTTGGGAATACGTACATACAACTTGTATGATAAAAGTACCTTACCCATATCGTAATTTAAATCAGATATTTACCAGTTAATTAACCGACTCCGAAAAATGAAGCCAAATCGTTTTCCAGGACTTCGCCATCCTTTGCTGCCAAAATGCGTTTACCATAATTCATACTGCACGCCGAAGCCAGGACACAGTGGTTCAAAATTGGAATTTAATGTTCATATTTTTCAACCAATTTTTACTAAAAAAAAATACTTTGGTGAACATTTTTTTATAACATTTTTTTTGTTTGTTTGTAATTCTTTCGTTTTGGGAGAACCATACAATTGTTTTCAACTAGTCTTTGTTATGCAATATTTATTAACTGGAACAGGAGAATACATTTTCTTTAAAATTGCCACTTTTTCTGCATTTTTCACTAAAAAATTTAATACAACCAAATAAAAATTTACAAATCAGGCCCAACTGGTCTCTTGCAAATATTATAAGCTTTCATAAAAAAAAAATGATCAAATTAAGTGACAAAAAATGAAGGCTCCAGTGAATTACGAACACTAAATGCCAGTTTTGAGCCACTGAGCGATAGGGGGTTTATTGTTCTCCTTCAGTGGAACTGGAAACTCAGCGTGCATCACGTTCCTGGGCACAACTTTCCCTGTGCTTTATAGATTGTACAAAGATTACCGATTAAATAAAAGCCCGTAAGTGGGATGC